CATGCATGCTGACACAGGTTTAAAAAAAAATAAGCATAGCTTAACTTGAGAGTGGGAGAACTGTAGAGTTAAGCAGTTCCAGCCCCTCCACCAAGCCCACCCAAGTTGTTCTATGAACAAATGACCACCGTCTCTGAGGGCATCACAGTCCGTGAGAGAAATCAGCTTCTCCTTGCCTTTCCCCAGTTAGCTGCTTCCCTAACCCTCAAAGATCTACTCCTCCCAGCAAGGCTCACAAACTGTGGGCACTTGGAGCAACAGCTTCTACTTCTGCACCTAATAGCGCTGGTTCTCAAACCTTGGTACAGAAAGAATAAACAAAGGCACTTGTTAAAAGAACATCCTGTGTCTTTTTCCTCAGAGAGTCTGATTAAGAGCGTTGAGGGTGGAGCCCCAAATGACCATTCTTTAACTGGACCCTCCCAGTATTTCTGATGTCAGTGGTATGCAAACCTGGTTGACATTACACACCGTATTTGAAATGCAATCATCACTGCTACCATTTATTACATGGCTGAACTCATGTAAATGGATGGCTGGCCAACAGGATTTGAATGAATAAGTGTTTCAAACACTTATCTGTTTTTAAAATGTAAATGACTCTGTGCTCGTGTGGTTTAATTTCATAAATATTGCCACTATTTGATCAATGGCAATATCTTCAGATCTATAGATCTTTCTTCCTAGGATCTTCAAATATTGCATTTAGGTCATTTGTTTTATTTATTTTTAGAGAAAGGGAAAGGAAAGGAGAAAGAGAGGGAGAGAAACATCAATGCGTTGTTACCTCTCATGTGCCCCCTACTGGGCACCTGGCCTGCAATCCAGACATGTGCCCTAGACTGGGAATTGAACCAGAGGCCCTTTGGTTTGCAGACCCACGCTCAATGCACTGAGCTACACCAGCCAGGGCAGGTCATTCATTTTTTAGAAGGAGATGATATTCTATTATCACCAGTCAATTCTAATGAAGCAAGGTGTGGTCTTGTACAAACTTCTACAAAAAAAGAAATATCACCCTGACATCGTATCTGTGAATTGAGCCCTTGGTGTTCTGTGCAGCACCCAAACGATGAAGTTGTAGAAAGTCTTAAATGTGTTCTGTGTACTAGACATTGAAACCAGAACCTAAACAAGTGAAGTGTGTTGCCGGAGAACACACAGAGAGTTAGAAAAGCCAAGAGTCTCCCTGATGAGGCTACTCCCACTACTCATGTGGGCAACGCCTCCACCAGCAGATGGGCTTCAGTTAGAATCACTGTCAATCCCTGAGCACAAGTCACTTGAGAATAAACAGCTGGCCCCCAAAGTATGCCGAGAGTCAGAATAAGACGGATCATCTGGGGTGAAACGCGTGCTCCAGACAATCCATAAATCCGTCCCCTGCAGGGCCATAAGAACTATCCTTTTCACAGAAGAGTCATTTAAGGCTAACATCTACGTGTAGCTACAAAGTTTGAGAAATTCAGGTAAAAAACAATTTCCGGAGGAAAGGGAAGTGTGTTGACCTACTGCATACCAACCAGATGACATGGCCAAGGTTATACATAGCAAACTCAAGACGGGTCTGCAGAGAACAACTATGTCCTGACCCTGTGGTGTGCTGTTTACTTCCAGCCGCACTGCCTCCCAAACACATCTGTCCTGTTACTGATTCACAGTCACGGGTACCAGGGAGGCAGGACCGTACGACTAATCTAAAATGTGTTAAACTTCAAGGTGGCGGTTGAAAACAAAATTTCTTTTAGCAATCTGGCCTGAAGTATACTTGCAGGGATATATCTGCATATATTCCCATGACTTGGCTTGTTCCAATCACATGGAAAATCTGATTTACATGTTTGTGTTTAAGGGGCCAAGTTCTGAGTGTGATTACAACCCCTTCTGAGACCACGGCAGTAGTTACTTCTTGAGTTTGACTTTGGGGATGGCATTTGAGTGGTTTATTGCATTGTTCAGCTGTCAGCAGGTTGCAGGCGTAGCATTCGGGGGAGGGCTCTCTGCACTAAGCAGCAAAACATAGAGGGGACTTCGGGGAGATTCCATCACACTTCATTTGGAAAACAGAGTTGTCTCTGTCAGAACTAAGGTTAATGGTTTGGATTTCTGCAACTTCTACATGGCTTTTGAACTGAAAGCAGACAAAAGCCCTGATGTATACAGGCAAAAGGCCTGATGTATAACCCAGGTAAGTAAAATCAATCAGACCCAAAGAGGCCCAAAATATGTTTTATTTATGTGACAAGCTAGTTGCTTTGGCTGCCCATTATTAGGGAATCCAGAGAAACATGCTTGCAAACAGAAGTACCATTATAAGAATTCTCAGGCGATGCTCACAATAAGCTATTGGAAAATGGCTTGAGGGAGGGGGAATCCCTACGGCCCGGGTGTGTCCTCCACTTCTGGTAAAATGACTGGTGTGGGTGTTCAGGGTCCTCAGACCCCAGAGTTTTTATTTTACACGTCACTCCCTTCTGGCACAGGGTGGCAGAGTGCCCCCCCCAGGAGCTAGAGTGTCTGTGTGGGGAGAGGACACCTGGAAAGTCCAGTGTGCCCTGCGCCACGTGCCTGGGGAAGAAAACAGGTGTGTGCTGCGGCACAGTGCCAGGTCACCTGCCCCTGCAGCATGGGGGGACCCCCCCACTGATGACCCTCCTGAGGTGGCCATCTGCTCACCGCCAGCTGCTGTGGCTGCCACATCAGCACAAAATGAACATCTCAGGAGCCCTCGGCAGCGGCTGAGCTGTAAGCTGCTTCCTCCTGCTTGGGACTCTGTTCCTTTCCTTTCCTTGCTCATCTGCCTGTCCTTGAAAAAAAAAAGCAAAACAACTTTTTTTTTTTGAGGCTGCTGCAGCAGCTCCTAATAACTCTTAATGATAACGTGCAGGAGACCATTAAGATTAGTCTTGCTTGGCTTTTCTTCACCAGCCTCTGTGATTATTGTCCAGGTTGGGCTGCAGTGTGCGAACCGAATACACAAAGCACACCCCAGGGAGGGCGGGGCGCAAACTGCCTACAGCCGCTTCCGTCTTTGCTGCCCCTGACGGAGGAAAGAGTGTTGTGCGAGAACCTGAGTGAAATGGACCAAGAAGAAAGGAAGGCTTTAGCCTTCCTGGAGGGGCTCTGTGGCGTGACCCACAGAATGGGCTCTGAAATCCAACAGATTTGGCTTTAAAATCCTTATCTTTTGACTGACACCCAGTCCAATGGCACTTCTGCTAAATAAGTAATAATAACGTCTACTCCATAAAGCTAAGAGGGTTGAATGAGACAATACATGTAAAATGAATAGGGCACAGAGTAAGCATGTTTGCATATGTATAAAACAGCAACTAAAACCTGCTTCCCATCACAGACAGAGGCCAGAGTCAGTGAGATGGGCCCTCAAGGCCTCATGAGTTCCCTCTCAGGGAGAATGTGATGCTGCAGGTTCAGTAGCCGCTCAGCAGCCTAAATAACCTTCTCACTCATTGTAAAGCACAAGAATCTATGGGCTGATTTAAACTGAAATGCTCCATGTGTCGTCCCAAAGAAGCATGGTGGCAACAGAATAGCCACCAAGGGGAGAAAGTAGTCCTGATATCACACAACATGCCACGACACCTCGTGGTAACATCACGCCTGCCATTACTGGGTTTGCAAATCTGAGTTCAGTTTGAAAGTTATTAATATCAATAAAACTGCTGTGTACAGTATTTTTTAAAGGCAGCTGAAAGAACTTTGATATCAGTAAGCAGGCAATTGTATAGAAAAGAAATTAAGTATGTTTCTTGCAAGCTTTGTTTACATGGTTACTAAAGGGAGCTATCTCAAATCCTACCCTCAACTTTTGGTAAACTGATCTAACTGGCTCTATTCATGATATCTTTTCCAAGCAACAAAAAGGACTCCTCTTACTTTGTGCCAAACAAACACCTCACCTGTGTTACTGCAACTTAACAAGGACACTCTAAAGTGAATGTCGCTAACCCCATTTTACAGATGAGGAAGTTGAGGTAACCTGCCTGGGTCATACATCCTGTTGTGAAGGCAGGATTTGAGACCCTCTGGCTCACAGGTGCTCTGCACCTGTGCTCTGCTCATTAAGCCGACAAGTCACTTTGCCCTACTCCCTGTATGCACCACGACTTTCCTGTCTTTAGAAAACGATGCATTCAGGACCATTAGTGGAGGAACTTGGAAGATGGTCATTGGTACCCATAGCCCAGCGAAAGGTAAGATGGCACAGTGAACAAGCATTCGCTTTGAAGGCAGGAGGCCCAAGCTCGAGCCTTGATGTGCTTCTTCCTCACTGTGAGATGTTGCACGCCTTACTTCCCATCTCTAAGCCTAGTGTCCTCACCTATAAAGCTTCTCCCCTCCATAGAATTATCACAATTGATGCAGTAATACAGGTGAGTCCACTCTCCTATCATAAGGCTCTAGGCGAATGCCAGCTATTATTATATTTCATTTAGCTTCAGTGCCACTATTGAATTGCTCTTAAATCTTTGAAACTCTCTCCTGACCCCTTAACCTTCTCATCTATAAACTAGATCTGATGATGCAGCATCTTTTAGTAATTCCCTCCAGCAGCTGTTTTTAAACTTGAGTGACCTAGAATCTTTTGGCATATTGGTAAGGCAGATTCCTGAGCCTCATCATAGTCCCCCTTAAGAAGAACCTTACAGATTTGGATGTAAATGGGCCATAATCACTCTGAAAAATGCTGGCCTATAAGTTCGATGCTGCCCTGTGGCGTCTGTGCGTAAAGAACTCGGCCAAGATCATCGGTAACACAGCCAGCATCTAGTCCTCGAGTCCTGATGCCTGGATCCTGTTGTTCTGACCACACCACTGGGCCACCCGAGGACATCACAGCACTGCTGTGCTCACTGGGTTTCCAGGGGCGCGGTGGGGGGGGTGGGAGTTGATTCTAGAGTACACAGCTGAAGCTAGCAGCACTCCACAAACATCTTTAAAAGGCTAAGTTTCATTGTCTTTTTGTTCTTCTTCCACAGACACATTTGCAAGCAAAGTGGCAGCTACCCAGGACCAGTATGCGGATGCATCCATTGGTAACGTCACTGGCAGCAACGCAGTGAATGTCTTCCTGGGAATTGGTGTGGCCTGGTCCATTGCTGCCATCTACCACGCGGCCAATGGGGAACAGTTCAAAGTGTCCCCTGGCACACTAGCTTTCTCTGTCACTCTCTTCACCATTTTTGCTTTCATCAATGTGGGGGTGCTGCTGTATCGGCGGAGGCCAGAAATTGGAGGTGAGCTGGGTGGGCCCCGGACTGCCAAGCTGCTCACATCCTCCCTCTTTGTGCTCCTGTGGCTCTTGTACATTTTCTTCTCCTCCCTGGAGGCCTACTGCCACATAAAAGGCTTCTAAAGGAACACTCAGATGTAGTACATTTATATATATATATATATATATACATATATATACATTAAAAATTATGTACAATGAACAGAGGAAACTGACATTTGTCATGTCCACTTACCTGCTGATGGAATCCAGCTTCAAGAGCATACTTGCTAAGGCTGAAGTGAGAAACCATCCCCTCCCATTCCCAGGGGCACCGCCACATTGAACAAGGCGCAGAGGCAGGGCCGTCTCTGCAGCTCGGCCTAGAAGGCTGGGTTCTCTCCAGGTTCATAAGTCGTCAGGTCTTTGTTTTCTGTTTGGCTTGTTTTTGATGGGGGTTGGGAGGTGGTTGATGTTTGCCTTTTATTTTTGTTTTGTTTTGTTTTGTTTTGTTGGGAAGAGCGGGGTTTTTGCTTCTCTCCTGAGAGGTGATGACCGTCTAAATGCAAATGGACTTTTGGTCAAAATTTCAGTCATTAAGATTACTCTCCTTCCCCCAAACACTTGAAAAATTCTTTTGGATTGAGAAAGGATATTGAGCATGGAAGAAGAAAGAAGCATGTCTTCTCTATGTTGCTAAAGCCAAGCTCATCTCTGGAACGTGAGCAGAGGTGAAGCTGTCTCCAAGAAGAAGCGTGGAAGCTGCAATGGAGCCAGGAAAGCTGATGGTCCTAGACACCGTCTGATATTTAAAGATACGATGCCTGGCACTCTTGTTCAACAGGTACAGGAATAACGTGCCTGGATTCCCAGGAACATGCAGAATCCTTTAGCTCTCATCTCTTTAGCTCTGGATTGTGATTAGCGAGGCCCTCCTCTGGTGGTCCAGCCCAGCTAACACCCCCCGGTCCCCCACCCCCACCCCTCTCCTCCTGCCCTCCAGTCCTCATGCAAACGGGAAGAATCACCCCATTCGGAAAGCCTATCATCTTTTTTTCCATTTGCATCAATATGTGTCCCAGTCCCATGTCGCTGCTGCCTGGGATCATCTATTGGTTTCATTTTCACAAGCATCCATGGCTTGCACAATCCTGTTTCGGTCACGACTGAACATTCGCTCCTTCTTCATGTGCCTGTTTGGGAATGTTGTTGTGATACCTGTTACACAGTGCATGGAAGAAAACAAATAAAACAAAACAAAGCGTTATCTGTATATAGTAGAGTGTAGCATATACTGTTCTCCCATTCAGCGATGTTAATTGGACACTGAAGACCTAAGTGAGTTTTCTTTTCACCTGAGTTGTACCTGTTGCGTTGTGACTGAGTTCATAACTAGGGATGAAAGGAGAAAATGGCGTACTGTTCGCGGAGCTGCACGCTCATTTCTAAGAAGCAATAACTGTCACGTGGGAAGCGAAAGCTATTGAGAGGACAGCAGGTAAACTTCGGAGTGTCTTCATGGGAAACTAGCCATGTGGAACACAGCAGAGGCCTCTGAAAGTCACCTGTTGATTGGGGAGGGCCAAGGAGAAAGGCGTAGAGAAGCGGATGCATTAGACGTGCCTGTTCTTCGAGAGCCTCCATTTTCACGGCACCCCAGCCCCTAAAGTATTTATTTTCACATCTGCTCTGTCTGGCACAGATGGTAGATAGTGCTGGTTTGTTCGTTTTATTTTATTTTTTTTATTTGAAAGGCTATTTTGAGCCCTGTTTCTTTCACCATCCAGACCCCTCTGATTGTATCTGCAGTTCCTGAGTAAGAAAGAAGCCAAGCTGACCGATGGGTCTTTAAAAGTGAATCTTCTCTGTTCATGACTAAGGGGGTAAGCAATTAAATGAGATGATTGCCTTCCAGGGGGATTGCCCTGGGAGGTTTTTAACCTCGAAACAGAAGTGGCTCTTTCTATTTCAAAATAACCAAAGAGCGTGGATGAACCCGCATTCCAAAGTAGTGAGTCCGCTGACGAGGAAATGGAAGGACATTGGTCCGCTCTCACAATCTACAGGTTCCCTGGCTGGAGACAACCGCTAGCCCTCTGTGTTGATTCAAAGATACTTAAGAAATAAAAACTCTTACTTATTTTCTTTTCTTCCACTCATTAATCATGATCATTCATTATTTATAAAATATGCATCTGAATGAATAATTAAATGCTGGTTACCCAGTCAATAGGCCAGGTACTCTGCTACCTCCTGGGGTCTAAACCATAAACCAGACAGCCCAGGTACCTGCCTTCAGAGGGTTCACAGTTAATGTCCTTGCTCTTATCATGAGTAAAAATCAACCCAGCCACTTGGAAACAAGATTTATCTTGTAAGGAAAAACACAATTATGAAACTTAAAAAATAAACAGATTGAAATTGTGCAAATACAATTGTTAAAATACCTAAGACTTATTTTTTAATTAAGAGGGCATAAGCAGAAGGCAGGAATGGCATCCCAGGTGTCCCCGGCCAGTATTGCAAGTGGGCGCCTCTCCGCATCTCGGTGTATGGAGATGTACCTCGTACATCAGGAACGGCCATCCTGTTGGGATTGCATCCCACCGAGAAGGCGCAGCAAATCCCAGTTTTTACCTTGGTTTGACCATGACTCTTTCCTGTGCCCCACATCTCTGCAATTCTTTTTACCTCCTGGGGACTCACTCCTGACCTGTCATGGCCCGATACACTGGTGGCCCGACACCTTTGGGGACACATTCTAGCCCCCCCTTTTCAAAGATTCACTGAATGGAAAGGTAGCCTAGAAGCACCAAGTAAATATTGTCAAGGGTTACGCATTTAAATTTTAGAAAGATTTTTGCACTCATTCTCAGCCATATTTGGAATGTCGGTGATCCCATAGCAAATTGGTACAGAGAACTTTTGAGAAATTCTTGCCATTGGTCAATTTCAATTTCAAAGCTTTTGGGTTTGTTTGCTTTTTAAATTTTTATGTTATAGGGAAAATATAATTCTGGTTGTTCAGGGTTTATTAATAATCATAGCTGTGTAAAACTATTTTATTTTGTTTGATTATTTTATTTTGTGTGTATTGTGCACAGCTTTAGGGGGAAATGCACTACTGTGCTGTTCCTTATTCGTGGTACACGTTACTGGCACAGACAAATAAAGTTTCTCATTGTTTCTGACTTAATCATTAGTGATACAGTATACTCTGTATGGAACATTTTCTCTCTTGTCATTGTCATCCACTTCATTTTTATGTTTTCATGTTTTAAAGAAATAAAAACCCAAAAGGTACTATTGTGTAATTGGTATCCTCATCCAAAAGAAAGGAAAAAGTATTTAACTCTTGCAAATGTCAATCCTTTGGCTATTCAGTGTTTTCCTTTTTAATGTCCCAGGAGAGCCCAGCATCAGAATATTGCCTATCTGAGAGTGTTGTGACCAACGTTGGACATTTCTCCATTTCATTCATTGTTTTCTTACGTCATATGGTACCACCTTAGTTACATCTGTTCTGCATCCAAGAACATGAGCCCCCAAACAGTCACGCATCACTTTTTAGCATAAGGTGTATTACGTCAAATCAATCCCAATACAATAGATCACCAAATTGCTTCCCTAGTTGTCCACTGTGTACATGTAAATGATACTCTGCTCACCTGACCATCTTTAAAAGGTTTAGAATTCCTCATTATATTCCTATGTGGTCATGTGGAGAACACTTCCATATGTGAAAGAAGGTATAATTTAAATATTTTCTTGGATCAACAATATGTTTCCTAGGACCCAAGCTTTCGTTTAACATAAGACGAACAGCCAACATTTACTTCTTTAAAGGGCAAAAAGAGTCATTAAATGACCAGTGAAGCCTTGACTGTTAAACAGCCCTTCAGCAAACTGCCACAGCCCAGTGAGGCTCAGCCTTTGATAAGCTAATTCAAATTCTCTCAAAGATTTTAATTCAAGCCTGCCACAAATGAAGATGATACAGAGCTTTGGTTTCTGAGGTCAACAACGTAAACAAACACACTAAGTTTTTTCTCATTGCTTTTCAAGGAAAAAATAAATAAAATATGTTGTTTTAAGAAGCCCCGAAGACACTGGTAGGTGGCTGTCACACACAGTGCAGCATCTTCCACCAGTGGTCTCATTACTAATGACAGCTCACTGGCCACACTGCCTTTTCCATGCAGGACTCACTGATTGGCTAGCCCAGAGCCCCTGACCCTAACCCTTCAAAATGCGGTGAGCCGACTTCTGTGCTCTGGGTGCATCTGAGAACTTTGTGGAGGCAAATAGAAGAACAACAGATTTCCTCTGGGGGAAAATACAGCCCTCTCTCCTCTAACAGCCACAGAACTTCATGTTCTCAAGAAAGTAAATCAGTCCCTTTAAGATTTTTTTCAGTGTTTCCTGGCTCAAGATGTAGAGAATCTCTTTTGATTCTGGCTTTCTGTCTTTGGTCTGGGGTACTTACATCTGGAGCAAGTCTTAGGGATACTTACATAACTTCAGGAACATTTGACCATTTCATGATTGACCATGTACAATACTGTGTGTGTCTCACCCTGACCTACTACTGGCATTTGGTGTTAGCTAGAATGCCTTGCCCCGGCAAAGTGATTACTTCAACTATTGATTAAAAAAATTAGCATTTCAATCCACAAAGAAGTGTATCATGAAGAGAGCTAAAAATCATATTTATCTTATAGAGAAGGAAAAGGACTATTATGAGTGGATTCATTGGCTTTTGTTTTAATCTACCTACAAACTTTTGGTAATGGATTGCACCTCTGCTCTTCGTTTTAAGCATTATGTACTTATTATCACTTCTAGCCACATTCATTGTCTTCCACCAACTGTACTTCAAGTGTTGGGTGGTCCTGATGGTATTTCATAGACAAAGATAACATAAGGGGAAGGAATTGTAAGTTATATATTTCATTTTTGGCACTTAATTAGGTCAGATTAATCTCCTCCCAAAGCAGATGATGTGTTATCCACAAGAGGGGCAACCACTGTGAGGTGGGTCCCTCAAGGAAGTGAGTGTGTCTGTCTCCAGCCAGCAGGAGACGGTGAGTATCTCGCTTTCCATGACTTCCCCCTGCCTGCCATCATGTCAAAAGTGATGCACGCAGATGCTCTCCCAGTTTTCAGTTTTGTCAAAGTTCCTCTAACCTAACCCCCTGTAGAACATTTAAATCAGTGGTCGTTGTATAAATTATTTTTTTCTTTTTATTTACTTATTTGTTGGAAATAAAGCATCACTTCATACCTTTAAAATGCAACATGACTTCCTAGTTAAAACTATGACCCACTCCTTGCAGGAAGGCTTGCCTGTCCCGAATTGTCTGGTCTCTCTGTAATCCCTGCTGTACTTTGCAGATGCTTGACTGCTCATGCTCTTTACAGTCGTGCAGCCCTCACCTTCATCAAAGGTCCAGAGGGCTGTCCCCCTGGGAATATGCGATCTTACTCTTTCTTTTCTCTATTTCTAACCTTTGTAGTGTTTGCAGGGCTACTTGCATTATATTCATTATCCTTCACTCTCAGCTCACTCATACCTCTCAGCAATGGAGAAAGAGTCATGAATATGTGATTCTGAAAGTGAATTTGTGACAGGAAAAATTAAATATAATTCCATCTATAAAAGAGTCATTAATTAGATCAGTCATTATAGCTCACAGCGGCATGCTATTGCAGATTGTTGGCTTTATTCCTCTTTGGATCACATTTTTCCTGCCTCATTGCCCATCTCTCTAGCCTCTTCTGTCAGTCTGTGTGGGTATGGGTCAAGGATAAGGACCCACATACACCCACTAAGGTGAAGCGTGTAAACACAGGAAAACATCACTCACAGCTTCCATGCCACCAAGAAATAAGAGTGCGCCAAGTGCTTGCCTCTCTGCAGACGGTGGGGAAACTTCATGTTAATAAGCAAACACATTGAAAGAGAAATCAGTTAACTGATGTCACGGGGTCAATGTGGACGGTGTCAGCCCAGCACTCCCACTTTGCTGATGACAAAGACAGAGCCACCCAGCCAAATCCAGTGTGTTGGGGGGAGGGGACACTGATCTACAGCCCCTCTGTATTCGAAATTATTCATTTACCTAGAAGGATCTGGCCCAGAGATTTTTAATGACTTTTTCTCTCCATTTCCAAATTGAAACATATCACTTTTAATTTACAGAATTTGTTTTCTCATTTTTTCATGTTTTTATTAGTTTCAATTGCGGTTTATATTTAATATTTTGTATTAGTTTCAGGGGTATAGCATAATTAATGGTTAGACAATCATATACTTTATCAAGTGTCCCCTGGTATTTCTAGTACCCGCCTGGCACCACACATAGTTATTACAAATGTATTTTATTAGCCCCCTTGAAGCCACATGTTAGGACAATAAATAAATTCTCCAAGGAGACTTTTACTAAAAATGTGATTTTAGATTTGTAATGATCCCAGTGTTTCCAAATGGAAGGAATAATTTTAGGAAATAACCAAATATATTAACACTTTTCAAAATATTTAACCTAAAATAAACTAAATTGCATAAATATTTAAAAGTAATATGACCAACATGTCTAGTTTTGAGAAAAATTAATTTCTCTGTCAGAAACTTCCTACCTTCTTACACTCATCTTAAAATTAAACTTTGCAAAATATTTTAAGATTTCTTCCTTGGAATATTTTTCATTCTCATAATGCTCATATCACTGAGTAATACAGCTAAAATAATGATTTGGGTAAGAATTATTTATCTGATTGTCAAAACATATCTTAAAATGAGAGAATTAACGACGAAAATGTGCCACTATTTCAGCACAGACTGGCCTTGTCTAAGATATTGGAAAGTCCTTACCCTTAAGGAAGGGGATTTACCAGTTTCCGGCAACCACAGTACAACTTAAACTTGGATTCTCAATTTTTATGAGAAAATCAAAGATGGGCATACATAGCTTTTGGCTTTGGCAACCCAAAAATAAACAATGATGCCTTTGGCACCCTCTCCCACATCATTGAGTTATTTTCTGGAATACAATGGACCTCATGATAATGTTTTCCATAACTTCACTCTTCTTCTTTTTAAGCCATAAAGTTTCTAAATTTCATAACTTAGTACCTTGACCATTTCACTGTCAAATGGCCGATTCCATTTTGATGTTGTTGTTTATCTTTCCAAACCTGTTTTATTATTTAAAAGAGTGGGTATCAGATGGGGTGCAGAGCTGGAGTCTACCCCAGTTAAATGATGAAGCCCAGAGAGACATGCCTGTAGTTGAAAGTCATCTGAAACACTAGCCTTTTCATGCACAGCAAGTAGAATTGTTGTTTTCTATCTTCTATATACCAAAAGTGGCTAATTCAACTAGTATAAAAACCGATAAAAAAAAAAGATGTGAAATGCTAGTTCAAAGACTATTTCTACCAGAATCAGACACAGTTTCAGCACTAAGTCTCCTCTATCCCATTGCTCCCCAGAGCAGAGATGCACACAAAAATACAAAAATAGATGACACACATCAAATAACTTGGATTGCCCTAAAAGCCCACGTCAGATTAGTGTTCCTACTTATCAGATCTCTTTAAATAGAAAAAGGCAGCAAGAGATGGAAGAAGACATGGAAGACAGGGGACGGGATTTTTTTCTCCTTTTTAGCTAAAGATGCAATTCAAAATTGTTTGAAATTACTTAGAATGTTGTTATATGTATTTTCCTAAAAACAACTAGATTTTTTAAAGGAATTCGTTTTCTTTCCTTCATTTAGCAAACATTTCTGATTAAGTCTTTGGAGTCAGTTAGGTCTCCTTTCTGATTTTTCCAATCACCCTCTCTCCCTTTTCAAAAGTGTTGGGAAAATATCCTTGTCTAGGTCAAGTTGTGGGGGATTAAAAAGTTGAGGTTTTGTGTTTTCAGTGGCAGGCTGACATTATCTAGAAATGTATTCTGGCATAAAGGAATGGGAGTCCCACCCAGTTCTGCCAAAATACCTAATCGTCTAATGCCATGTAGCTCCTCCACTATCTGTAGTTTTAGTTTAGATATTTTCCACTGAACCAACTTAATTTTCATAGTTGTCTTGTCCCAAGCAGTTTTCTGCCAAGATCTTACTAACCGGCAAACTGGCCCTTTCAACTATTCAGTACATGGAATTCCTTCAAGGGGAAGGATGAGGAATGGGGGGGGCATAATGTTGATGCGGAGTCATGGAAGCCTATTTAACCAACTGTCACATTATATATTGGACCCTATTTGGGACACTTACTATTGGAAAAGCTGGAAGGACTTC